AGCGGATAATTAAAGATTGCTGCTTATATGGTTTTAATGATCATGTATTTATGGCGTCCAAATAACTGAAGATTTAAAACACACTCAATTCAATATGCAACCAGGAACTGGTGGGATAAATTATACATCACCCACAATTCTTAAGTGGCTATTCATATTACTCAAATAGAAGGGCTTTATCTGTACTTTAATAAATTTAAAAGCTATTATTATTAAATTCTAAACATACCAATGAGACTGTGACTCAAAACAAAATACAGTACAAATTTATTGACTCCAATCATTCTTAGTCAAGATTTAAGTAAACAGACAATAGAATTGTAATACAAATAAGCAATGGATTAACGATAGAAATCCTATTTTACTGTGTTTTCAGTCCAAAAAGTTATTCCTAATAAAACTGAACAATGATTTTACTCTAAGGCATATGACTACAAAATATACACAACTATAAAATCACTCATTTGTTTTTAACAGTATTTACTCAATGAAGATTCTGAATTAGTTTGGATTAATGTCCGTAAGAGATTATCACCTTTTGAAAATTATTAGCCAAATATAGCTTTGTGAGAAATCTGAACAGCACTAATAAATGACAAAGAGTACTGAATTAAATTATTTTAAAGATTTACAGTAAAATACTTTGGTTCCCAGAGACTGCCTCTAAAAAGAATTTTTAAAAACCTGATGTTTATTCATCTTGTTCTTCTCCAAAATCTAAACAGATTGTTTTTTTCTCCCCAATCATGTGGAAATGCCATAAACTAGAATACACTTAGAAGCACTGAACAAGATATTAAAAATTATGCAAACATCAAACCTCTTAAAGTGCTAAAGCCACAAGAGAAAAATCTATTTTTAAAATTTAAAAAAGCCCAGTGGCTAGTGTTAAAGAACACTTACTAATGGTAGTTATTAACATTATTTAAATCAGTAACACTTTTCACAATTATTGCAAAAAATATTGATGAGGCATCAGAAATTGACAAATTAGCTTGAACTATTCCAAAACTGGTTAACTAGATACAATTTGTAAGGAAACATGTTATGAATGACATCTAATTATTTTTGTAGTATGAACATTCAAATAATTTCACTTCCTGAAGTTCCAGATTATGATTTTATGTACACACACCCACAACCCCAATTTGAGTGAAGCCAACTTAAGACCCATTAATTCTCAATGTCTCTCTCTCTGAGATCACCCACCTGGCCTGCAGAATAAGCCACCCTACATGTCCAGCAAAGAGCTAATTTTCTCCAGTTTTGTCACTAGGGGGTTGTGGGGAGGGGAGTGAGGTGGACTGCACCAGGTGACACTGTCAGAGGGGATAACAATAAAATTACTGTCTATAAATTTTGTGTGTGGTGTTTCCAGAAATTTTTTTTTTTTTTAACAAAAATATCCCTGTAGTTAGTTGTAACAACAAAAACACTTTTTAAGTACAGCTTACGTGTTATCAACACATCTACAAGGCTAATACTCTATCCTAATTTACTCTTTGAACCTTCTAATGCACTTGTCAGAGCTGTCATTATTACCCAATTACAAATACACTTTGAATCATGTGGTTTCATCAGTATATGCTACAAGCACACACTGTTGTTTTCATTGTTGCTGGTATTTGTATAGCTGATTTTGTCAAATTTTCTGGTTTTAGCTACAATGTTGTGGTAATTAGTATTTGTGAACCTGTATCAGTAACTTTTTGAGAATGAAGTAGTAATTAAAAGGAGAAAAGTCAAAAAAAGCCTTCTGCTCAATTAACAAAGTTGTACCAAATGTTGTGATTCAATGTAGGTTTTACAAAACAAGTGTGTTGTTAGTATTCACAGAAGCTAAGAAATTACATTTTTAAGCAATTTACAACTATACTTATCACATATTATTCTATGATTAAAATTGATAAATATTATTCACAGGGGTGGCACTAGGTGACACCAACCCTAGTGACACCACTGATTTTCCCCTCTGGTAGCACCAATAAGGGCTCTGTGTGGATTCAACTACCACCAATTAAGTGCTGGGGCATAATATTAAGAAGAGCAGGTGATGACAGTCCATTCTAGAACAGAAAACCAGGTACAGCATTCATCTCTCCACAAGTGCAAATAGCAACACTGCTGAATTGTTACTCATACATTTTGATAAAATGATAATGTATGCAAACTCTAATAGTTTTAAAGATGAACATTCTAGTAATGTTGAAATATTTTTACTATTAAGAATGCACAATATTTGTTATCTCCATTGCTTACTTTGAGTGACTGATAAAAACATATACGTATTATGTTATTCTCCCCCACCCCAAGTAAAGAGATTCAGTAACAAGAGCTCCTCAGATTAACAAAGAATATATTAAAACATTTTACATTCTTTCCACAACTATATAAAAAAGCAGGCATCCTGAAAACTTACAAGGAATAATAAGCTTTCTACATTTTCAAAATTAATTACAATCAAGAAAAACATTTACAAGAATATCTTTACTAGCTAATTAAGGAGTTGCAACAATGAAAGGCCAACTTGTTTCACACCAAATATTTGCCAACTGGCCGAGATAAACATTCTTAAAAAAACTGTTTGCTGAATAATTAACATCTTTCATTATTTTACTTAACATTTAAAATAGTTACGTGAATGGAAGCATATTTTATTTTTCGACCAACAAAATAAACTCTTTCAGCCTAGTGCTCTTAAGATACAATATAAAAAGTAATAGAAAAACCAGAACTGCATTATAAATGTTTTTGGTTCAAAAGTTTACTTGAAATCTTATGCTCCTTGTCTAGACAAAAATGTGAGCTAACAAAACACTGGTAATTTTTTTAAACCTAACAGATATGCTGAGCCTTTATTTAGATCAAAAATACTTTTTGCTGATTAATATTATTATTAAAAAATTCTCAAAAATGTAGCATAAAGTTTCAAGTCTTGGGATACTGAATTTACAATGCCAAGAGACTGTGTATCGTGGAAGTACTATAGATACTCCACACAAGTGACGATTACTCTGAGGGAAACTGTCTTTTTTTGAAAAAGTGAAAGCTACCAGGATGTTCAGAGTAAGAAATACCACATTATAGAGGATGAATGAACAAGAATCCATCCTGACATTCCATAGAAAATCATATGCTTTAGTTTTGTCTTTAAAATGCATAGATTTCTCCAAGGAAATAATAATAAAGATGGCAACCATCAGTAACTGAAAATTTTATTTCCCTTTTTACATCAAATTTAAGTAGGAAGATAGGATGTAATGACTCAAATATTTTTGGAGTTTTGAGTTTTTCAAATGGTAAAATTTCATATAATTTCTACAATGTACAAAAGCTTTTAGGATTTCATAAAAATGGTTGTTTCAATTTTTAAAAAATTATTTTCTTACCACTGGTGTGGAATATGGATAATGAGACCAAGGGGTACAAATTCTAGCTAGCTAGAGCACACATGTAAGTCTCAGCAAATTAGTCACAGTATCTGCTGTTTTTGTTTGCTTGAAAGAATTTTTTAGAAAAGATCAACAGTAAACTTGGAGTTTTAACTTATATCTCCATCTTAAAAGGATTTGTAGTTTCAATAATATTTCTACCCTAATCCTTACCCCTCTCTAGGTGAAATGAAATTTCCCATTTTGAAACACCCCATTAAGCTTTGGATAACATCCACTTAAGAGCTTTAAGTGGTAAATTACACATAATTGAAGAAAAGAAGCCCAAGCCCTATGCACCAAAATAAGCAGCAAATACAAATTTTGGGACTCGATAGTATTGTATTTCAACACACGTCTATGAACTAGCAAGCTGTGACTTAAAGCAGAATGGTTTTACCATTCACTTTTTACCACAAGTACTACCAAGGGGGGAAGGGGGGAGAAAATGCCAACTAAAAAATTCTAACATAAATCATCACACAAAGTTTATGTCTTGCCTATATTGTTCTTGAAAAGTATGGAGAAACCACAGTGTGGTGTTTCTCCCTCTGCACTGAAGTCTCTAAGTGATTTAGAATTTCAGAGGTGCTGTACTGCTTCCGAATGTTGGGGATCTACTTATATATATGTTCCAAATGTTTTTGTTCAACGAATGTTGATATATGACTTTGTGTTTTGTCTCAAAGTCCAATCTCATTATCAGTTTGTGACAACATAAACCAGAGCAAACTCAAACCCTGACACCCAAATGCTAGTCTGTATTTAAAAGTGTGGTGTAGCTGACACACAACACAGCTCAGCAGTTTTATGACATGCCTATTGTTACCAAAGCTCCTATAAATTGACTTTAGATGCATTTCATAAATCATAATCTTTCCATTTCCAAAATCTGTCTTACAGTTTTACCATCAAGTTTTTAGTATTTTATAAACATCTAAGTATTACTATTGCTGATTTAAATTTCTCACAACTTTTATACAAAAAAAGTTCTACATGACCACAAAATATCAAGTATTTATTTTTATCAAGTGTCAGGATAACTTTAATTAAAGTTGAGGTTTATCATTTTTTATTGCTAAAGTATTCTATATCTAAATCAATACTGCAAACTACTCCACTTCTTCCTGATACATTTTGGACTTAAAAACATGGCTAAGAATGTACTAGAACTTTGGTGTCTGATATAATCAGAAGAAGAAATACTTTACAGTATTTCACTAATTTCAAATCAGTTAAACAAAGAAAGAAAACCTCAATTAAAAGATTATACTGACACCACGGAATGAGGAACCATGCAAATAATCAAGATTAATCAAATTTTAACATTAATGAAATCAAATCATTCTGTTACTGTAAGGTCCAGAACCACAATATTTTTAAGTTTCTCTAAAGTTGAACAAGGATATTACTAATTATCATCAGTTTATCTGAAACTTAAATTCAAGGATAATTTCCAACCTTTATTTTTTTCAAAAAAATAATTTGTTTCATTTGATGCATCTCATAATGTAGGCTGATATCTAGAAACCATCTCCCATTTCATAATAGATTAAAAGTATCGGTGTTTTAATTGTGGGTTTGTTCATGACTCCAAAGACTAAACGCAGTCTTGAATGTCCTATGACAGAGTTTACACATAAACTGTCTTTTAAATGTGATTGCTGACAGGGGTGGAGCATGGTAAAAAAGTGTGTCTGATTCTTGGGGTGCAAATAATTTCTCTGTAGCAGGAGTTGGATTTTCAGACAAAGCAGTTGGACTGTCAGGTTCCAAGGGCTGGATCTTGGGCAGTGGGGGTGGCGGCGGCAGGGGCGGTGGGGAAGGAGAGTTTGTTGGTGCAGGGCACACTTCAGATTCTTTATGCAGTGACTCCTCTGTGGCCTGAGACATGTGGGACTGGAAGTGACTCCAGAGCCGGAAATTCGTGCGAAAAGCTTTGTTGCAGACATGACAGATGAAAGGTTTCACAGAACACAGAAGCTCCTGGTGACGTTCCAGCTGCTTGTGCACCGTGAACATTTTCCCACATTTCTCACAGGGCCACAGGCTGGTGTCTTTGCTTGTACCTGTTTCTTTGGGGGCTACACTGGTCTCGGGCACCTCTTCTTCTGCCTCTTCCACAGGCTCCTCTTTGACTTGGATTTTAAGTTGCTTAGAAAGACTGAGGTCTTCAGGGAGACAAGAGGAGTCTTCAGAATCAAAGTTAATTTGTTCAGAAGAATCACTGAACACATTATCATCTTTTGCTGTGATCACATGGTTAACTTTATTCGTCTCAGACTGAGACTGCAGCCTTGCAGAACTCATGACTTCACCATTGTGGTCAAGAACAGGCAGAGAAAAGTTTTCTGTTGGTGCCATGGTGTTCTGGTTGTGGACTTCAACCTGGTGTCGCCAAATGCTGAAGGAGGACTTGAAGGTGCGCATGCACTCGAGACAGGTCAGCTTCTTGTACTCACATTTGCTCTCGTGCTCCTGCTTTAGCTCGGGTGAGAAAAACCTAAGGCTGCAGTAAGGACAAACGGTTGCATTTCTGCATAATCTCTCGTGGTTGCCTTGTTCTAGAAGAGAAGAGAGCTTAGCATTACAGAGGCGGCACTGGTAAACCTCCTTGCTTTCTACTGGGCTTTCAATAGGGACATGCTCTTTTGGCTTAGTGACTCTATTTACTCCAATGGGTTTTTCTCCCGGGTGCATTTTTATGTGCTGTTTAAATTGAGAGAGAAAACGATAGGCTTTTCCACAGTAAGTGCAAATATATGCTCCTTTGGCTCTTGATCTTAAGTTCCTCTTGATGACTTGCGCTTGGGAACTAGTCTGTCCCTGAAAACCAGGCTTGCCACGCCTTAACTTAATGATTAGGGCCTTTTTAATTTCCCTCTCTCTCACTATGTCAATCAACTTTCTTTGGAATTTTTCATCCAAAACAGCATGTGAACTAGAGGCTGGGGATGGGTTCTTCACTATGCCGTGCTGTGTCTGACAATGTGTCCACACTTTAAAGTTTGTGTGAAATCTCTTGTGACAGATGTCACAAGCATAGGGCTTTTCAGGGTTATGGTATATGTTAACATGACGGTGAAGACCTGCTGTTGATCTAAAGATCTTAAGGCAATGTTTGCATTTAAATTTTTTGTTTGGTCTCGTTCCCTCCAACTCACCAAATTCATCTTTATTCAAGTCAGAATCTGGAAAGTCAGCCTCGAGGAGAGTAGGACTCGAGCCTTCCTCACAGTTATCTTCTGACACAGGAGATCCATGTTCATTTACCTTTAGCTTCTTAAATGGCAACCTTCTGTCAGCCTGGAACCTTCTCTTGGCTGGGAGTCTGCTCATTTCCTTTGGGTTGTCTTCTGTTTTCAAGGAAAAGTCTTTTGTGACTGACAGTGAGGTTGCTGCTGTTGCTGCCGCCGCGTCCCCCACGGTGACTCTGATGATGTCCGAAGGGTCTGAGAGTGGGCTGCTGGGCTCCGTTTTTATACGAACCTCTGTGACGGGTGAGGCAGCCTCCCTGTCTGTGGACTGAGAAGCACTGAAGGACCTAAGGCGATGTGGTGAAAGGACTGGAGTCCTGTCATCCAGGGCCACTTTCTCACTACCATCTTTTAAAGATGACTTTTGAGATAAAGCACAAAGCACATTCCCTGGTGCATCATTTGACATGGAAGATAATCCCTGGGAAGATTTCAAATCTATTGAGGGTGAATACATGGGAACCTGGCTATCCATCGACAGCGACCGTCTGAGGAGACTCTTGACAAGCGGGCCACTCCTGTCAATGCTTTGGTTTCCAGAACCAGGCTCACTGGATGGGATAACTAATCCCAATTTTGAGTAGTACAGTAAGTTTCTATCTTCACTTTGACCACCTCCTGTGTCAGTCTCTTTCAAGAGATAGGGAGCCTCTGATGAGCTACACAGAGACAAAACAGGTGGCCGTGGTTTTCTCAAAGCCAGCTCTATGGCTTTTCCTTTTGGAAGCTGACCACTCACACCTGGTTTGTCATCTGCAGCTTCTCTGTCTTGTAGAGGCTTTGAAGGCAATACCGCATTTCTTTTCACCAAATTGCTTCTACTAGAATCATCCAAAGAGCCAGAACGCTCAAGAGACTTTGCATATCCCACAGAACTATCTCTTGGCCAACTCTTTTCACTGAGTGATAGATTTTGAAGCGGATCAATTGGTTTTGGGACATGAGGCTTACTGATACTAGTCTCGGTGGCAATGCTACGTGAGGGCCTAGAAGCATGGCTTACATCGGGTAAGTTTTGACTAACTGTTTTTCCTTGTGCTTCATTTCTACTCTGACAGACAATGACACTTCTCTTTTGGGAATTGTTTTCATCATCTTCTATGAAAACTTTTTTTCTACTGGGACATGTCAGGAAGGGGGCTTGAGGTGTCTTAGAAACAATGTTAGTCAGGAAGGAAATCCCCAGACTATAGCCAAGTTCTTGTACGGCAGCCAGGCTGCTCTTCTCAACAAACAAAGACGAAGAATAGATGTAATTTAAAACATTGTCAAAAGCATCTGGTTCACAAAAGTCAAGCTGAAATACAGTCTGTGACTCGTTCTCCTTATTTGTGAATAAACTCTGGAAGTATTCACTGCTGGCAGCCAAGACGTTTTTATGAGCTCGAAATTTCTGGTCTCCAACGATCAGAAGCACATCACAGAGCTGTCCTTTGAGGCGCTCCTCGTTGAGAGCACTCAGGAGAGAAATGGCATGTGCTGGGTTTATGTAATGCAGTAACCCCTCCATTGTTTGGGTTTATCTGAAAGACAAATGTACAACTATTACAAATAATGCAATGACAAGTCCTCCAGGAAACTGGGGGCTCTTCAAGGGCAGGGAACACCACTTATCTTTAAACAGGTGCCCATATTTAGCTAACTAGTAAGCAGACAAAAGGTTTCTGGGTGAACAATCTTACATAAATAACACTGAAAATAAAAAGGGTGAAGTTTCCTGGCTTAAGCTGGTCATCAATCATTAAACTCAAAGAATTGTAACTAAAGATTATAATATGGGCAGTTTCATACGAGGAAAAAGGCAGCTATGTATGTAGGGAAGGAATAGCTGAAAATAAAAGGTTTATTACATAGGGCCTTTATCCATTTGATGCTTGGTTCTCTTCCTTATTAGTTCAGAATAAACATTCAGAAAATAACTATGAATTATCAAAATTCCTAAAGTCTGTAATTCTGAAAAAAATCAGTTTTATACTATGTATGCTTAAAGGTAACATAAATTGCTAATAATGGGTTGCAAAGTAGAGAGGTCATACCAGACTTTTCAAAATATGTAAGCATTTGGAAACACAAAAAGTCATTTGCTAGTTACTACTGGAAGTATTTAAAAAGGGTGTAAATGCTCAAGAATAAAAGTATGGTTTCATTCTCAGGCTACAAATCTCTGCACACTATTTTCTCTGAATACTGCTTTCTTGCCAAATCACATTTCCAACAACAGGACAAAGGAACTTTAGCCTGGACCCAAACTTAAGTATTACTAATTCTAAATCAAGGGATTTGAATTGAGATTTACTGAAATTCTTTTCCAACGTAAAAGTAAGAAAAGACGGTCTAGTGGCTGGGGATGCAGGTCTGATGCTTTGAGGGGCTGATATGGTGGCTCTACCCCAACAACCTCATATCCTTGGGCATGTATGACTGTTAACTTTTCTGTACACCAGTTTCCTAGTGTGAAATAGGAAGTAGAACTGTGCCCCTTATAGACTTGATACGAAGATTAGATGAGTTAGTATTTGATAGGCAGTAAGCATTCAACAGATGTACTCATTTTCAGAAATCGTAGTATTAATAGGTACAGGCAGATCTCAGATTATGAATGGGTTCCATTCTGCAATCTGTCTTTAAGTTGAGTTTGGAGTTAAGTCAGAATAATTAGGTATAGTTCACATATAACGTCAGTTAGTCAAATGTTTGTCTTAGTATATACTGTACCTTTCTATGCATTAAGAAACATTAAAGAAACATTTCCAGATGCACTAAAACATCTTTAATATGGTAATAATAATAATGTTTTCATATGTGTTGAAAAGTAGCACTATCAATAATTCTATGTCTCTCAAAGTTATAATGCCATAGGCCTCATGGGGATTGGTTTGCAGTCCAGTTGGACCTTTGTAACCCTTTTAATTTTGTGCCACAGAAACAATAATATAGATTAACTCCACTAAGCATTTGATAAAGATAAAAGCTGTTTCATACAGAAACAATGTTGGACTTTCCATATTTAACCCTTCTCTTAGGCTTCTTTATTGAAAAGTTCCCAAACTTCTGTCCCTGCAACTATCTTTGGTTTGATTTTATAAGACCACCTTTCACTTAAAATATTGTTGTGACATGTGTTTTTAATATTAAAAGGGTTTCAAATAACTAAGAACATCTGTGACTATTTAATCATACCTTCAAGGGCAAACTGTAGATGAACATAGTAACCAGCAGATTTGTACATTCTCTTCCAGGTCAAAGGTCAGCCTTGCTGGTCAGCCCAGCATGGAGGCTTTTCAGAGAAGCCCACACGCCACCAAATGTGGCATGACCAAAAACAGTAGACAATATCTTCTCTATTATTCTGACTTCCTGGTAAGGTGGTGTGACTTTGTATCTCAGGATGTGGCCTTTCGACATTACCCTTTATCTTGCACAGAGGACAGCAGAAAAAGAAGTTTATAATGCTACATGTATGGACTCAGCCCACACTGAGCACTTTTCTAGTGCTCTTAATTTTTGAGAAAGCCAGTCAGATGTTGCCACAGGGAAAAACAACAGACACAGAATCAAAGGCTTGGAAAAAATTTTGCAAAAGCAGTTGTTAAAATTAACTTAGTGGTCTGACAACAATGAGCTCTTTTGTACATACAGTACTGCGTTGTCAGTGAAGGCAAACATTGATATATGGGTGGACAGGCTGAACTATTAGGTATGTCTATGCAGGGGGGAGTGTGCCCATGACCATGTATAAACTTGGCAGACAAAGTTTCTACAAGTGTATTTGTATGTTTTGCAAGAATTCCCAGGTATATACTAAAGCTGACAAGGGACGAGGTTGTAGTCACTTCCTGGCTATAGCCAGCTACCCAGAGGGAGCAAGTAGTTGGATCTGTGGGCTCAGGACCATAGTTGCAGGGGACATCAAGCTCAATTGGCATAACATACTACACAAAAACATTGTTCCACATCCTACTTTGATAACTAGCAACTGGGATCTTAAAAGCTTCCAAGTGGCCATCTAGATGCAATTATGGGTCTCTCCTCATTTAGAGCAAAGAAGAATGAAGAAAACCAAAGATACATGGAAACAATTAGTTCAAGGGACTGTTACACCATGTGATCCTCAGCCTATATAACTATAAGACCAGAAGAACTAGATGGTGCCTGACTACCATTGTCAACAACTTGGAAGAGGATCTATGAAGAAGATCCTGGATGGAGTGGGAGAGCGGTGTGGAACAAAACTCAAAATCATGGAAAAAAAAAAAAAAGGGGGACCAGGTTTCCTGGTCTGATAAGAGCCTGGTTAAACCCCTGAGACTATGTTCCCTGGCTGCCCTTCAGGCCTGGAACTGAACCCATTCCTGTGGCTTTCAGCCAAACAAAAGACAAGCATATGAGCTGAACATTTACACTAGGTAGATAAACTCCTTGGAGAGATCAATCACAGGAGAATAGAAGAGCTGTGTATGCACAGGGAGACAGCTTGGGGGGCAGGTGCACATGGGATGGAAGGACACAAGGAAGAGGTAACTATGGGGAGGAAGTGGGAGGGGAGCTGTTGCATTGTGGGAAATTGCAGTCAATGTCATGAGAGAAAGTATATGTGAACTGCTGTATGGAAAGTGAATTTGCTCTGTAAAGTTTCACCCAAATCACAGTTAAAAAAAAAAAAAAAAATTAACTTAGTGGTCTGAAACTAGCTGTTAAAAAAATTAATGAAGTGCACTAAAATGGAGAAGATGTTGGAGTGCATCAAATGTAATAAGGTTGAGGTTCTGTGTGGCTTTTATTTCAGTTACATACATACATATTCACACGTTAAGTGTGTACTGGGCTGGAATGTAAAATAAAACATATTCCTAGCTGTGGGTCAGAGTTGAAACAGTTAGAAAGCTAGTGCTTCAGGCTGATCCACTTCTCTGCCTACCTCAGTTTTCCTCACTGTACAATAGGGATAATAACAGCTACCATACAATGCTATTGTTAGACTCAACTGAGATAATACTAATTGCTACCATTTATTGAACACTTACAACATACTACAAACTGTATCAGGTATTCATTCACTGAATGAGTGAATGCTATTCATTCATTCAACTAAATGGCATTTGAGAAGAGCTGAAGGAACTGAGAGAACTACCTTGGGGATAGCCGCAGGAAGAATGCGACAAGCAAAGGGAAGACGGCAAGAGAGAAGCAACGAGGAGCCAGACTATGTAGTGTAGGGCTGCATGAACCACTGAAGAACTTTACTTTGTACTATGAGTAAAATGGGCAGCCATTTGAAGCTTTTGAGATCAGGCATGACAGTGATCTGAAGTATGTTTTAAAAGAATCACTGTGACAATGCTGCTGAGAATGAACCATGGCAGATGTGCCAAGGTGGGAGCTTAGGAGAACAGTGAAGTGACTACTGCAAAAATCCAGATAAGAGATGATGCAGCTTGGACCAGGATGGTAGTAGCAGTGAAATTCAAGGTAGAGTCATTAGGATTTCATGCACTGACTATAGTGCATAAGAAAAAAAGAGAAGAGTTTAGGATAACTCTAATGACTCTGCCAGAACAACTGAAAAATGGAACTGTCCTTACTTGAGATGGAATTTAATAAAAATTAGGAGGAGGTCAGAGTTTTTTTTTAGGAGTTTTGATATTCCAAATATGAGCAGCAACCTATTCATTAATGTTTCTGTTACCCAAGTATCTTCTGTCTTAATTTTCTGTACCCCCTTTCATGTGCTTCCAGGGATAACTTCTCAAATAAATGACCTACATCAGAACCTAGTGTCAGGTCTGTTTTTAGGGAAATTCCAAAACCACAGCTATAGGATAAGGTACTGAATGAGGAGTAAACCAAATGAGATTTTCTATATCTCTGGACATAGAAACTATGACTATTCAAAGGCATTTGACTGTATGGGTCCTAAGAAATTATGGGTAACATTGCAAAGAGCAGGAATTCCAGAATACTTAATCGTGCTCATGTGTAGACCAAGTATGTAGACCAAGAGGCTGTCATTCAAACAGAACAAGGGGATAATGCATGGTTTAAAATCAGGAAGGGTGTGCATCAGGGTTTATCCTTTTACCATACTTATTTAATCTGTATGCTGAGCAAATAATCCAAGAAGATGGACTATATGAAAAAGAACACAGCATGAGAATTGAAGGAAGACTCATTAACCACCTGTGATATGCAGATGACACAACCCTACTTTGTTGAAAGTAAAGATGACTTGAAGCACTTACTGATGAAGATCAAAGACTAGCCTTCAATTATGGATTACAATGCAAAACAACGAAAACAAAATCCTCACAACTGGACCAGTAAACAACATCACAGTAAGTGGAGAAAAGATTGAAGTTGTCAGGGATTTCACTTTACTTGGCTCCACAATCAACACCCATGGAAGCAGCAGTTAAGAAATCAGACCACATACTGCATTGGGCAAATCTACTTCAAAAGACTTCTTTAAAGTGTTAAGGAGCAAAGATGTCACTCTGAAGACTAACTCAAGCCACAGTCTTTTCAA